TCCTCTTTCTCTTTGCTCTAAAGCACATTATGCTCAAATTATTTTTGAAGGCCTTGACCAGATCATGAGTGTGCTGGAATAATTGATATTAACATCTCCTTTTTGTTCTCATGCTGTTTCTATATGGGGAGTGCAGAGAATAGATATTCTTCCACTTATTCTTCTACCTTGTGATTTATCATTCACAGATTACTGAACTGAAAATTTTTGTGCAGTTGCCGATGTCTATGGTGCCTGACCCGGAAAACTTGGAGCTGTGGTTAAAGGTTTATATACTATTATTTCTGTGATCAACATTTCATTTCATGTATTTTTGGAGTTCTTCGACTTAGTATTGTTTTTCCAACTGATCAAAGTTAGATGCATTTTCTTGGTCAACACAGGTAGATGGAGAAACACGACAAAAGGGTTCCACCAAGGACATGATTTTTAAGATTCCTTGCCTCATTAGCCACATAAGTTCCATTATGACACTTTGTGAAGGAGATGTCATATTAACAGGTTATACAGCATTCAGATTTTTCCCAATTTTTCTTCTTTCGCATTAAATCTCAAATTTTGAATATGTTTTTGTGGTAGTTGTCGTTGATAAACTAGTATATTGATCCAAGACCAAAAGCCGTGGGCAACAACAGCACATTTCCTTCCATGGGGTATTTAATCCATGTTGATGATCCTTCACATTCAAATAGCATTTGTCGCCAGATTCAGTTGCATGTTTAGTTATCTGACTAATTGATTGATATATGTGTTTTCCTATCTCAAAGTCAACTTTAATTTCTGTGTTACTCCATTCATGTGTAGTGTGATACGGAGTGCCTGGTTGGGGTGGTGTAGTTTTATTGGGGTGGTGTTTTCCTATCTCAAAGTCAACTTTAATTTCTTTTTAACTTCTGATTTGAAAGCTTAGCTATTCTACACTATTTCATTAACAATAAGGGGAAATCTCTTCAATTTGAAGTCTTAATTATGTGCCCTGTTGATTTCTTTTTTTGTAGGCACTCCTCAAGGTGTTGGCCCTGTAAAAGTAGGCCAGAAGATAAGTGCTGGGATAACAGGCCTTGTAGATGTTCACTTTGATGTTGGAAAACGCCAAAAACCAGGAAACTGTTGAGCTAAGCGCATCTATGCTGCAGCAACCAGAGCTTGTTTAAGAAGAATTTATCCTTTAATTTCTGATTCAACACTGCAGACGCCCTGCACATCCTTCTATTGGAGTTAACCAAGCATCTGGGCAGCTAAAAACAAACATTAAAATAACCCAAGCATCTGAAACACAGCCCTTGGATCTTTCTGGAACTTGCAGTGAGGTACACTGCAACCAACTTAAAACGAATGCCTGCTGACCTTTGAGAACTTGCTCATTTGTGTGGATTGTGCTTAATTTCTTTGATTGAAGAAACTCTATTGTGAACTTGTGCTAAAGTAGGAAATGAAAGAAAGGTACAGCATTTATCATGCAATGAACAGCCACTAGCTTAGCCATCGGTTTTGCCTGCTAGTGAGGTTTATCTCCCCATTTTCTAAGGCAAGAAACGTTCAAAAGAAACAAGGAGTACCGCTATATATCAGGCTCATTGACAATAGAATTCTGTTCAATAACAACAAAGGTAAATTGGCAGTAAAAAAAATAAAAATAAAAATAAAAGAAGGTAAATTGGCAGTAACAACAAAGACAAATTCTTGAATCAAACATACACAAACCATACAATAGACAAGGCGAAGACCCTTTCTTCCACGTGGAATTAAAGCAGGAAAAGTACATCAACTGGTTAGCAAATTAGAACTTCTGGAAGAAGTCATGTATGTGTTTATTGATCTCATCAGGTTTTTCTTCATGGAGAAAGTGTGCTACTCCTTCCATTACAACCACTTCCTCCAAAAATGGAACATCTCTCTTCAGACCCCCCTTGTGTATATAGTCCTTGGTTCCAGGAGCATTGTAGGTAAGATCCTGGTCGCCGACGATGAACTTAACTGGCACTTTTACTTGACTCCCCGTCCAGGGTGCTGTAAGTTCCCAGTTTCTGCAACAAAGATGACAGCACAAGTAACAAAAAGTGAAAAGCTTAAACTTTAAAAGCAAGAAATATTGATACCAATTTAACTTAGATATGCCATCCACTTGAGTTTGAGAGGAAACATACAAGTCTATGTTTCGGTAATAGTTCAATCCTCCCGTGAAGCCTTTCTTCTCATATTGGCTGATATAATACTTAACATCTTCCTCTGATAACCAGTTAGGGGGCAAGCTGATTGGAGTGTCTGGTTGTCCAAAATATTTGCCTTTTAGTAGAAGGAGGGGACCTGGGTTACGGTATGTTAGGAATCCCTTCAGAACTCTCTCAAATCCTAGCTCAGCAAACTCAGCCTCTATTTCTCCAGGCGCCTGCAAAATTTATCAAGCAATCCGCCCATTAGTTAGCCATAAATGTGAGAGCAAAGCAAAGTATGAGAAATGTTCTTCCAAAAAGAAAAAAGAACAGAGAATTTTTGGAGACTTTGCAATAAACAGTGACAGTGATGGGAGAAGCCCAAGCTGAATATTTAAATGTTCAATAGGAGCTATGAATCTAAAAAACTATATGCAATTATTGCAAATTGCAGTTTGATCTGACTAAAATAACACTTCAAACAGTACATTGAGCATAAAAAAATATAGTAGCTGTGCTTTGAAAAAATACAACAATGGTAAAGTGGAGATAATATATTGATAAATCCTTTGTTAATTAAGGTTGTCTCA